CCCACAGAAAGCAGAAAGTCACAGCTTGATAATTTAAACAGGATTAAGGAGCGTCCATGTAAACAGATTTGTGGGCTTGCACTATGGGGACAGTCTGTGCACATCTCAGCAGAGGAGGGGCTTTCCCAGCCATGACATCTGCAAGAAAGAAATGTTGCTTTCTGTGGGAAAGTGGGGAAGAATTAGATATGTTTGGAGCAAAGAACGACTAAAGGCTGCAGCAGGTGAACTTTCCTCCCAAGCCAGGAAACTTGTGAAACACCACACCTTGCAAATCTGCATTGAGATAGCACAGCTGTCAAGTCCTCTGGACAGGCACAGAATAGTCACCATGCCAGTAAAATATATCTAGGGTAGAAGGATCCCAGGAAAGCAGGCAGAAACTGGGCAGCGCAGGGCCAAGCAGACAGAGTGAGACACCAGGATTGGAGGTTTGTGCTAGTTAGGTCTAAAGAAAGATTTCAGGAAGAGCCCCTGGGTCTGTCTTACTATCAGTAATCTTCTGGTTTTCCATTTTCGTCATGGACAAAGAAACATTTTTCATGCTTATGGGTATAATGCATCCCAGCCAGCCTCAGGCTGTACACCAATTTCACAAACCCACAAGAACATCCAAAATCTTGTCTTTGCTTGCCCACTGGCTGTCCCTCTCATCCCAAGCAGAGCTAACCAGATCTTTGCTAGCCCCCTCCAAGCCCCATCTCTGCAGTCTGAGGTTGTGGTGACCCCTCTGATGTGAGGGTGTCCCTGACAGAACAGTTCTGTTTTCCCCTGTATCCAGGCCACTTTGCTGTGGTTGCAGAGAAATTGAGAACAGAAGGGAGGATAGGTTTCCCCCAGCCTTCTGTGGCTGGGCACACAGTGTGGAGAGCTGACAAAAGCCTTACCTAGAGGCACAGCTAAGCAGGAAAACAGGAGAGAAAGGTGGAGAGGACCACAGAAGTATCACTAAACCTCTTGTAACTGCCTACTGCTTGTTCAGGGAAGATGGTAAACAGGTACTTTTCAAAGCATTCTCTCAGCAGGTTAAAGTCTTCTCTTCGCTTGCCCTCCTGGTGTTGTCTTTATCTCCAGTTTTTATTGCTCTGTGCATAGTGAGAAGATGGATATATCTGCGGGTAGACAGCATGGTTCCCCCTTCCTTTTCCTGGAACCTTGGAGGAGCTGTGCCTGGCTCGTGGCTCAGCCCCCACTGCAATGAGCTGTAGTTCCTGCTACTTCTAGAAACACAAAGCTGAGTCAAGTCATGTCTAGGCACGAGGGTCTCCATGTAAGACAATTTCTGAGCTCAATTTGACTCCAGGAGCTCAGGGCAGGAAAAACAACCTGGTCCCATGCTCCAGTCCTGGGAATCAGACCATGTAGGTGCAGGTTGGCAATGGCACCAGGGAGAGTTCAGCAGCAGGAGGAGCATGGCAGGAATGGCACCAACTCCTTCTTGGAACCACACAGGCTGGCTAAGAGTGCTGGCATCTCCCCACAGGAACAAATCTCGGCTGAAAGTGTCCAGACAAGCAGCAGTGGTGATGATATGCTGGAAATGAGGGGGGAGCAAGTGGGGGCCTGAGGATGAGAGATGCCAGGTCTGGATCCTCTCCATCATCCACACATGTTGTTTAGGCAAGAGAAAACAGTACAATGGAATAAGACTAAAGGGGCTTTTCCTCACCTGGCTTCCCACCCTTCCCAACCATCCACATGTCCCATCTATTCACATAAACTCAGACAGGTCTCTGAGCCTCTGCTAGCGGGATCTGGCACTTGTGCCAAGGAAGAGCAGACCCTTGTCTTGGCACCATGGGGAGACCACCAGAATGGAGAACATCTGGTCCTTGCACTGGCAAATATGCCCAGGGCATGTCCACAACTCCTGTTGTCATGTGAAGAAGCTGTGTGAAGGTTATGAGAGGGGGAGCAGCTTTTAGCCCCTGTGGTGCTGCTCACCTTGTCTGCAGGTCCATGTAGGGGGGATGCTGTTGGTTCCTCCCCAGTCACTCCAGGAGCATCATGTGCAACACATGGGGGATGCTGGTGACAGAAAAAGCCCCTTGCTTGGAGACAAGGGACAAAACCAGCTCCAGTTTTCCTGGAAATGGTAAAATGGCACAAAGGGAGACCAGCATAGCATTTGCCTGGGTGCCTTGCTTGCAGAGAAGCAGATGGGTGTTTTTGCCATGGAGCCTTCAGTCCTGCCTCCCAGCTGGGTATGTCTGTGCAGGTCAGGCCTTGAGACTGCAGCAGATTGTGCCTGCTGTGTCTGGTGCCCCTTGAACTCAGCCTGGGCAGCATCCAAGACTGCTTTCACCATGCCAGGCAGACACACGAGTGCTCTCATGATCCCAGCTGTGAGTGCTGGCAGCCAGGGAGTGAGTGACCTGATGCCTGCTCAGTTTGGTTGCATAGATGCAGCCTTGTCTTTTCTCTCCTGCCTTGTGCACAGTCACCAAGAGAGCGGCTGTTTTGTCAGCTCCTTGTGAAAAGCTTAGCAGTTAACTTGTTGGTCCATAACATGTGAAATACAGGTCCCCAGGTTTGAATAAAGAGCTACAGGTGATTCAGCCAATGCTCCAGAGCCAAAGTGACCCCTGCACGTAACTGCTGAGCTACTGAGGCTGTCGGCATGGTATTGCAATAGATTCTGGTCCTGCACCATCCACCCCTGAGGACGCAGTGAGGGCAGGAAAAGAGCAAGAAAAACATGTCTGGAGACAGAAAAGCAGAAGGACTTTTTTATTGAAGCTAGCTTTGGACTGGGAATTGAGGTTTTTGACACAGCAGTGACTAGCTGCTTTCCCTAAGGAAAGTGGCTACTTCCTTCTAAAGAGATCATTGACATTTTGACTCAGAGAAACTCACTCCCTAGCTTACTAAGTACTGAGCCAGTCTGGTTTTTGACAGATTTCCAAGAGGAGTTGGGCTCTGGAGTGGGGGGAGAGGCTGCTGCAGGGCTGGAGAAGGGACAAGAGCCAGGACCACGTATCTGGTCCAGAATGGTATCTCTTCTTGACCTCCCCTCACGGGAGCAGCCTGCTGCCAGAGCTGGGATCTGGATCACCATCCACTTGAGAACCATGGCAGGCAAGGACCTAGCAGGGATCTGTGGTGTGCAGCTGCATTGCTCTGAGGAGAACACATTTACTGGTCCCAGAAGAGATGGGAACCCTGGACTAAGACATCCTTGAAACTTACGGAAATGGATTAACCAACATCCAAGAGATCAGTGCAAGCCCCTTCTCCCTCATTTTCCCTGGTCCAGGACACTGGTTCTCCTTGTCATGTTAGCCTGCAGCCAAGGATGAATCCGATCCACCCCAGGCTGAGCCCCTCTGGCAGACCCTGCCCTGCACAGGGACCTGCTCCAGCTGCAGCAGCTCAGCCTCAGAGCAGATCCATGCCAAGCACACTCCCGCCCCTCAGCCACGGCCCCCTCACAGGTCACTGAGCGAACAGCAGGATGGCTCCTGTCCAAGCCAGCGCCAGTTATCCTCATTTCCCACTCACACTGTTTGTCTTGGCCCCTCTTGCCATACCAGCCTTCCTTCTCTTCCCTCTTCTGCCCAGGATAGAATTGCTGGGGCTGTCACTCTAGTTAATGGTCTGGGACAGAGCTGGTGCCCTGTGAGAGTCACGCTCAGAGACATCCGAGCCCGAGGCATTGTGTGTGCCGATACCAGGGAGGAGGTCCCCAGAGGGGAGAACGCCTGAAAGAGAAACAAGCACCAGCCAAGTGAGCCAGGCGACCAGGGGAGAGGAAGGGACAGGATTAAGCTTGCATTCAAGAAGTGTCAGCAAGAAGCCATCGGGTACCTGGGTACTCCCTGGCTTGAACAGCCCAGCCATTGCACCGCTGTGGATGCCATCCCCTGAGGGCTGGTGGCCATGTTCTCCTTGTCTTCAGGAATAGTCCTGGGCCATTTCACTCTCAGCCTGTGCCCAGGCATGCTGACTAGCACCAAACCTGACTAATTTAATGATGCAGACAGTCACACAGCAGTGCTTGGCAGGAAAGGATGGTGCCTGCCTGTTGGACACACAAAGGCTTCAGCTGGACAGAGCAGCTTTGTTCAAATATCACATGGCCTGGACAAAAGGGGACTAAAGGACACTTTGAGACAGCAAGACCTTATTCAGAGTGCACAGCAGACCTGACACTCAGGAGGAAAACGGCCACAGACTCTCAGCTAACTGCTGATGAGTGGCAGGAGCTGGGGGGCTGCCATCTTGGTGTCTTATCCATGGATGTGCCCTGGAACAGATGTCTTCAGTAGCCTCCATTGCCCCAAAAGCTTATCCTGCTACTCACCTGCACCTCAGCTACCAGCAAGTAATCTGACCTGCCAGAGTAATCAACCACACTGTGCCTCAGTTTCCCCCTACTGCAAGGACAAACCTCCAGTTCCTGCAGCACTTCTTCCATGTCCCCTGCTCCTGTGGAAGCTGAGAGCTGGGGATCTCCAACCCAGCATCTGCACTGGCAGGACTGAAGCATTTGGGGCTGGATGATGCAGTACTGGCATGTTCCCTCCTACCCCATCCCTGCACACCTTCCCAGGGAGATCCACTCCTGTAGCCTGGCTGAGCAGTCAGAGCAGGGCTTCCATTTTGCCACTGTACTGAGAGACTCCCAGGAGAGACCTGCAGCCCAGCTGCTGTGTCCTTCATCGCTATGAACCCTCCTTCCTTCTCCCCACAGCCCAGCACAGCCCTCTTGCCACTGCAGCACAGTAGGCAGTGCTGTTTGTTCACCACATACTCCATGATCAAACATGAGGCATGACAACTACCTTCTGGCTTTTCTTTTTATTGAACAAAATCACAGCACATTAAAAAAAAAAAAAAAGAGAGAGTAAAGAGGCATACACATAGAATTGTTGCAATTAACAGATCTAGCAGCAAATAATCTGAGAGCAGCATGACCTCCAGGCATGGGCATCGGGCAGGGCTGGACAGTGGTGTCAGGCTGGGGGACTGAGAAAGGATGCAGTGTCCCAGAGGAGAGCAGAGGCTAAGAACCACATCTTTGCCTGCTCCAAATTAGTGGCTCTATTTCTGCAGTTGCAAGGAAGGGCGGGAGGAAAACAGTGTCAGGGAATTCAGGAGTGAGAGAGAAACCACATCAGCCACACATTTTCTGAGGGCATCTGGGTGGTGCTTGGCAAGGTTCAGCACAATGTATAGCCATTGTGGAACATCTCCATCACTCCTCTCCATCCCCACACTGTTCTATGCTGGCAGCCCTTCCCAGGGACGCAGAAGAACTCTAGTTGGGACCGATAGACAATGGGAACCGAAGGGATCAGGCTATAGCTGGAGGTCACAGCTGCTGTGCTGATGGGAAGTCTGAGACTCCCCGGCTCACCTCGCAGATCAGTCCATCAAACAGCTTCCAGGCTGCAAAGGTGATGCAGTCCAGCAGCCCCCAGCTCAGCGTGATACAGGCTGCTGGGTCACATTGGAGGCAGAGGGAAAAAGACAGAGAAGACAGGGCTCTGCCCAGCCCCACACACTGGCATGAGTCTCAAGGAGGCTAGAGATGGAAGTGGGTTGGCTCCATTAGCATCAGATTCACATCTGGGAGGTGGCCCCTCCAGCTGTTGGGACCAGCCATGGCTTCTTCAGGACCTACTTGCCCTGGGGTTTCCCCTGGGGAAGTGAAAAACCCAACTGGTATTAGTGTGCTCCTTGGGGTATGAGCTTCCCAAGGTTCCCTTCCTCTGCTGGACAAGCTGTGGTAGTGATGGACCCATCAGGGCTTGTAAAGCACCCACCAAGCTCATCTCCATGAACATGCACAAGCAGCAGACTCCAAGCTTGCAGGGCAGAAGTGGGGAGGGATTTTGCTCCTGGTGCCATTTGCCATGGCACACACCAAGCTCAGACAAGAGTGACACTGGGTAGACAAAAGTCCCAGGGCTGCATTTATCTGGAGTGGAAGAGGGACCACCAAGAAGGTCCCAGGTGGAGGCAGGAGGGATGGAGAGCAAGACAAATTATCCATGCCTTGGTAGAGCGTGGCCCTGCTCTTCCCAGTCACAATGGGAAAAGCCTGTTTGGCAGTGGATCAACCCACCCCCTGGGCTGATCTCACATCCAACTGAGAACAGGGATGGTTCTTACCCTCCTGGCATCCAGTCTTTCTTGGAGACGAATCACCCATGGGGAATGGAGGGGTGCACAGAGGCGCTTGCCCTTTGTGGTGATGAATCTGACAGGCCCATGAGGGAAAAAAACAAGTTGTAGTAAGCAGACACCCCATGGATGCTCAAGAACAGCTCAAGATCTTACCTGCTTCCTACCTTACTGCCCTCCCCCATCTCTGCCTGTAGATGACTTTCTTCCCTGGCTTTTGTCCCATGCTCTCCCTTCTCAGCTGCTCCCTCTCTCACTGAGCCTCTGGATCTTCAGAATCTCTTCTGCAGCTCTCCCTATGCCTTCACCCTCAAACCCAGCTCAACATCCCTCCACCATCCTGCTCTGCCTTCAACCCTGCCTCCGTGCGGGGACCATCCCTGGCCATCACGAGGCCTTGTCCCTGAGCCATCACCCCTGGGCTCTTACATGGCAGCAGGGATGTCACAGCCGCCCTGCACCAGCTGGAGCTGGTAATCCTGCACGATCCGCGGCGGGATGGGAATCTCTCTTGTCCGCAGGCAGCAGTCGAGGACGTTATTCCCAGCGTTCACTGGAGGATGAACACACCATACACGCTGAGGCCAGCTGCACCTCTCCCAGCTTTCCCGGAGGGTGAAGGGGCTGCAGCAGGATGGTGCCTGCAGGAATGCTGTCGCACACTGCCCTGGTTGGGCACACAGGCACCAGCTTCATTGCGCTCGCACCCCAGTGCTGGGAGCCTTTTGCCTCCTTCTGACAGAAAGCAAAGGAGATGGGGAAGAGTAAACAGGCATGACTGTATCCCTGCTGCACCCCAGCTAGCAAGGCAATGGGGATCTTTATTTACCCCGCTTCAGGGTGCTGCAATACAGACACACATTTCCGAGGGGCTGAGGGTGACTTTAGCTTTATTTACTGAAGCAATCACAAGTTTGGCAGCTACCCCACCACCAGCCCACCCCACACAGATCATTCCTGTGACAGCTGAAGGACATAGCTGTCTGTGGTTGTCTGCAAGGAAGGGGATTCAGAGTCACCCTCCCAGCAGATGCTGTATTCACTGCTAACGCGTGACAGGGCTGGCAGCACCCACGGATGTCTGTGCCCTCAGCAGCAAGGTGTGGTGCAACACCACAAGATGTCTAGACCCCCCAGTTCCCCACCACAGATAGAGGTTCTGATGTCGCCCACCCAGACAGCTGTGACCTGTGCAAAACCCACATCCAACACCAAAAACCCGTCAAACATCAGCCCTGCCACTAGCGTCCAGGCTGCCCTCCACCACTGGGTGACAGGGATCTTCCCCCGGTGTGCTGGGGAAAATGGGACCAAGACAATCCCAGCCCAATGTGTGTAAGCTGGGCTAGGGCACTGGGAGGCAGGATTGCTCTATGGCCTTTCCCAAACACACTTCCCAGCCCCAGAGCCCTGTAGGCTCCTGTCTGGACTTTGAGCAGGACGAAGTCCCTGCAGGACAGGTTACAAAAGGATGCAGGAGGGCTGTGATGGAGCAGCTACACGTCCCTCTAAAAGTCTGCTGGAAATGCAAAAGAGAGAAGAAATTCAATCCTCTCACTTCCGCAGGAAAGGCAGCCTGAGAGGTCCCCTCTTACCATCCAGGATATGTCCCAGCAACAGGAGACTGAGGCAGAGAAGATGCGGCCGCTCCATTTTGCTGCTGAGTCTGGCAGAGGATGGGATGAAGGCGATGGGGCTCCAGGCGGGAGAGGTGAGCTCTGCACAGCTTCCCTGCGCCCTCCTCCTGCTGCTGCTGCTGCTGCTGCTCCCCACTGCTTATATATCCTTCCAGCCCATGGCTTTCACTTTCTTTTGGAGGCTGGAAGTTGTACCAAATCTTACAACAGGCTGAATTTAATCTTTGAGCAATTCCCGAATATCCCATCAGCTGCTTTCCCTGCAGCCAGCTGTTCTGTGGTCCCATAGCCAAACACTTTCTTGTCTTTTCTGCCAGCTCTTAAGCCATAGGTGTTGCTGGTCGGGACCAGGCAGCTCCAGGGTCCCTTTACCTTGTGAAAGCAACCCAGAACCCCGGGATGGCACTTGGAGGGCTCTCACCCCACATATTTCCCAGTCTCTTTTCTGAGACACCTCTGGGACATTCACATTAAATATCACATAATCCCAACCCTCTGATGCTGTGGGGGTAGAAGTTGTCTCAACCCCATTTTTGGGGTATATGTTGGTACTGGAGTGATGTCTGTCTCCACCTCAGAGTCTCCCTGGCTGTTGCTGAAGCCTTGCCCTCCCCAGTGCCTACGTGGGGGCACATCCAAAGCCGGCAGAGAGAGGAGAGCCCACTCAGCCCACTCCAGGGCCAAGATCTCACGGGCCAAAAGTCAACCTGATTTCCAGGTGTCCCAGAAAATTAGTTCTTGGCCAAAGGCAGTTACAGAGCTTCCTGTAAACAGGTTTTCTCCATGCAAGAGCAGAAATCCCCCACGGAGGCTGTGTGCACAGCGCAGGGTGCCGGCAGCTCACCCGCTGCGTGGGCACTGCCGAGAGAGAGGACCAGCGCTCCCGCTTCGAATCTTCACAGGAGCACAGGGACGGGGGCTGTTTCTCCTTGGTATGGTGACTCACCACCATGCCAGCGCCAGTGCCACCTGCAGTGATGTCCCTTAAACCAGGCTGCTTCAGCCCCCCGTGGGAAGCAGAGAGCACTGGGGCTGCGCAGCCCGAGGAAAGAACGACGGAAGGCTCACTGCTGCCAGCAACTGCCCTGTAGGGAGTTGGAGATGCCAGAGTCAAGGTCTTCTCTGAGGGCAGGACAAACATAAAGGCATCAGATGCACCCAGATAAATTCCCACTGATAGGAAAAACGCTTTGCAACAGGGGCGAACAAAACCCTGGAGCAGAGCCTCTATGCCTGCATCTTTTCCCTTGTTCAAGCTTTGGACTGTCCTTGCACTTCAGTGGAGAGCAGTGTACAGATCTCTTCCACATGGGCAAATATTTATTTGGGTACAAGGCACACAACTGGGACCTGGGGACCTCAGTGAGTCCCTCTGCTCCTCTCAACAGCAGGAGAGGCTCTGTCCCTTCCCTGCTTCTTGATAAGAAGCAAGAGACTCCAGCCATGCCACCAGACATGATGCTGCATCCCTGCACTGGCACTGCCACCAGCTTCACGTCACTGTCACCAGCCTCCTGATCTCCTCCATCAGGAAGGCATTGCCTCTGGCTACTCCTGTGTCCCAGCAAGCCAGTGCTGTGGAGAAGGAATCAGGCAGGGGCTGGGGGGCAGGAGGAGTAGCACAAACAGGATGTGCCAGCTTAACTTCGGTCAGCACCTGCTGACACTCACAGGCCAGCAGAAGGCGAGTTTAGGAGGTGGAGGATTAGCATCCGTCATCAGCCCGGGGCTTCCCGCAGGTTTGGGGATGTAGGCTGGTTCTGCAACCAGCAGGTCTTTACTTAATCTCCTCAGGACACTGTCAAAGAGATGTCATAGAAGGGAGGATGACAGCTGTTGGTTGCTGGTGGCCAGAACTGCTCCTAACCCAGAGCTAGCTCCTCGCTGGGGGTTGGTCTGACAGTGTGGAGCCCAAGAACAGAGCCCTGACCCACTGGCACGGGGTGCTGGGGGAGCTGCCCAGCAACAAGTCCTCACCTCCTCACTTGTTCAGTGTGTTTGACAGATCTTGGAGCACAGCCAAGGGCTGGGAGGGGTGCTGGGAGTCCCGTGCTGTGGGACTACCCTCCAGGCACTGCTCCATGCTCCATGGCAAGCAGGGGTGTCCCCAGCCACCACTTTCCTGGCACAAGGGTCTCCCGTCTGCTGCTGGCTCCCAACTGGCTCTACACCAAAAGGAACATGCTGAGTTGGGAATATATCCGTGTGGGACTAAACCTCTTAGCCACCTCTTGCTGCAAGGGACCCTCACCCCTGCCCACATCCCCTGCCAACAACATGGGCAGGAAAGGGAGATTGTTCTTCCTCACAACAGTTGTCAGGGAGCCAAGTGGGTCAAAGTACAGCAGTTTCACACGCCTCTGCTCCCCAGGAAGAACACCAGCATGAGGAAAGGGGCTTTCCACTTGCATTGTGAAAGGGGAATGTAGTGGGTTTCCACCCCCTACTGGGGTCAGTAAGATTTCTAAGAAAAGGGTGATCATCTCTGAAGTGCGTCTCTGTGGCACTCACAGAGGTCACCCATCCCCCTCGCAGGACTGAGCCTCGGGGACGAGAAGAGGTGAAGCAGATGGGAAAGACAGGGATGCTTCAGGGTCCAGGGTCTCCAGAGGCACAAACATGCAGGGGATTTGGTGGGGATGAGGGAAGAACATTGTTCACACTGACTCATTTAAGCCTCTTCCTGAGCAATTAAGGGAGCATTGAATCTCCAGCCCCGAGGACACCACAGGATACAGCATAAAGCATCCATGAGCACTCACTCCTGCAGAAACCTCGATAATGCAGTTGTTAATTAAAGCGGAAATCAGAAGGAACTAATGATCCCTGTGGGAAATCCAACCCATTGAAATGTAAACAAACCATGTGGGTATCACCTTCACCCCTGGGCTCTGCTCAGAGAGCACTGACCATGCTGCTGCCTTCCTGGAGACCTGAGAGCCACGGGAGCTGCCAGGACAGCTTCTCCCCAAGCTGTCTGGTGGTCGTCTGCCTTCCACCTCTGAGCTATGGAGCTGGAAAGGGCAAAGGGGGAATTTCAGCAAATTCCAGCTACAGCCAGTCCCTGGGGTGGGATCTGGCCTGGCTGCATTCAGTTCATTGGGAAATACTGGGAAAGCACTGCAGCTGCTTCAATTCCCCTTGCAACACCCAACTCGTGGCAGCCTCACACAGCTCTCACCACATTCCCAATCCTGATGTAACACAAGGACTGAGGCCACAGCAGCCTATGGGGCTCAGAGTCCCACTGGATCTCCTCTGGCTGAGTGAACAAAGCCAGTCTGATTTAAATGAGGATAAGGGGGGAAAAGTAGCAAGTCACAGAAGTAGCAAAGATGAACCTGAAGATCTGGTTCAGAAGGATTCAAAAGGTTCCAATTCCTGCTCTGTACTGGCTTCAGTGTTGCTGATGTTGAGGTCACCATGAGCGATGAGCAGCATATCCAAAAACACCTTCAGCTTGTCTTGCTCTACATCCCTAGACAAGCAATCACCTCCCAGGATCCCTGCAAGCCACGTGTCCCTCAGCATCACATTCAGGCTGCAGTTTCCCAGCCAGATTCTTCCTGCAAATAGCACTGAGATGGCAGTGGGTGGGTGGGCGGGATGCCCTGACTCCCTGCCATCATTCTGCCTGTCCTCTCTGCAGCCCCTCCAGGGATTTCAGAGGAGATGGCTGGGGACAGCTCAAAGACCTGTACAAAAAGCAGTTAATCAGCAATTTCCTTGATACTCCCTGCATGGCTTGGCAGAGAAGAATGCCTGGTGAGGCTGAACACTCAGTTCAGCTGTGGACAGATCTACAAGCGTATAGGACAGAACAAACCCTTGGGGGCTGGTCCCACTGCTCTGCTGGCTCTTTGGCAATGGGCAGGGGACACTGTGAACTTGTTGGTTTGTTGCAGTTCTGGGGCAGAGCTCACATTGGCCCCAACACCGGAGGACACTTGGGAGCTACACATAGGCAACAAAATAGTTGAGAGGAAGCTCTGGGCTGTGCCTTCCAGGACAGAATGAATGCCAGGGGATGCCCAGGAATGGGAAATACCTCAGGGCAGGAAAGGTGAGAGCAGTTGACCAGTAGCCACTTTCCCACATCCTCTCTGCTCTCAAGACCGTAGCACACCTCAGGAGAGCAGCGTTGGTGGAGAGAACACAAAAAAACCCTTGAAGTTTTGCTTGGAATCCAAAGCCCCTCTAACACTCATGCACCCCAAAAGCAGCCCTTGGCCCCCACGAGTGCAGCACAGCCCAGTCCTGCTGCTGGGCAAGGACCTGGATGGAGGGATAGAGCTGGTGTCCCTATGTCCAGGTGAGCTTAGCTGGAGCTCCACCTGGCATCACAGCCCAGAGCACTCTGCTGCTGGCACAGCCCTCGAGCATCGTCTGCACCAGCTAATGACTAGAGCTAATCATTTGGCCTGGGCTCAAGACTTTCTTGGCTGCACTGTTTTCTGTCTCACCCAGCTGCTCTCTGCTGTCACTGAAGCCTTTCTGCTCCAGGGTGGCTGAGCTTTCCTAACTCTTGCTCAGCTTGACATTGTGGCAACTGCTCTTTCCCTGCAGACAGATTCAATGTCTAGGTGGACTTTTATACAGCCCTTGCCCACCTACTACCCCAGAACATGCTTCATCAACACTGCCTTATCCTTGCACAGAGCATCAGGTTTGCCCTGCCCAGGGGTACAGCTGTGTGAATTCCTTTCTGCAGCTTCACTGCTGCACCACCTTAGACTTTCCTCTTCACTTCTCTTGTCCCAGCTGCGGTCCATGGATTCAGCTCCTTTGTGAAGAGGGAATTTTGGCGCCCAGAGTGCTGCAGGTCGCAGCTCATCCCTTCTCACAAGGTATCTCCTCGGAGTTGTTTCCCTGGAGCTATCTCACTGTAGCAGCACTGTGACCACCTGTTTCACACCTGCTCGAGAGGCTCCCAGTAACCTGCCACCTTGTTTTCCTGGAAAGCAGCATTCAGCAATAAATCTGGAAGGGGACTGCAAACACCTGTGCAGGTACAGGCACAGGT